TGTGTGTGTGTGTTGTTGTAGTCCTTGATAGTGTTTCTGTCGTCCTTAATGTTTTAATGTCTTGTAATAACTCGCCTCTGTATGTGTGCTTACAGCAGAAATCTCATTATTAGAGAATCCTCACGAGCCATTTGTTTGTCACTCACTTATATTAAATAAATTACATGTTTAGTGCTATTATTATTGCCGTAATAATGTATTTGTAATGTTGCATTATTAGTCTTTATATCTCTGGAGTAAAACATGGCGTTGTATTTATTGAATGGAGCATTAACATCAGAATCTAAATGAGCAGCTCTACTATTGACTGCTGTTTGATTAAAACGCATTAAGGGCCTGTTGATTAGCACTGGCAGACATGCTGCTTGACAGTATCTCCTCTCTGCCTCGGCGTTTGTCTCTGTCTTTATGACGCTCTTGTCACCGGCCCAACCTCTTCTTTTCCCACCCTGTCATTAGGCTAAGCAGCGCCATGACATCACTCTTCAGTGGGATAGCCCGGTTCTGGACCTGTTGGCGGGCGGGTACAACATGCATTACGGAGCGCGCTCCATCAAACATGAGGTAACACCCAGACCGCCACACGAGGTTGTCTTATAAGACAACATATTATGTTTTTATCAGTTATTATAACATTTTACTTACCAGTTTCTTTACTGAGATCTGGGGGACACAGCAACTCTGCTACATGAGCTTTTCAGCAGACCAGTAGAGCAAGCAGGAAGTACCTCTAAATGTTCTCATATTGACATTTATAGACACAGTTTGGGCAACTCATTTAATGTTTATAAAGCTGCGGCTAACAGATTCACCACATCTGTAATGAGGCTGGTGAGTAAAATGTTAAAACTAATAAGAGTATCAGCCAAAACTTACTGTGCTCAGCTGTGGCTTTAAGAAAGATGTTACATTTTACAGATCAATTAGTCAAATTAGCAGAAAACAATGCAAAAAAATGTCCATTATCAGCCCACATGTTGAATTAGGGACGGCAGCAGATGTAAAAAGCGATAATATTCAAATAATTTACAACTGAAACAGGAATAAACATGAGTAACAAATTATTCAAAATGCAAAATAGTAAATAATCTGAGATAATGGACACAACCACATCACAGCAGACAAACCAGTATCCTGATTTAAAAACCATTTTCTAAACTCTTACCACTAACCTCGTCACTGATCCCTCAGGTTGAACGACGGGTCGTCAACCAGTTAGCTGCAGCGTACGAGCAGGAGCTGCTGCCCAAAGGCTGCATCCTGCGTCTGTCTGTCCAATCAGAGGACCAGGACGAGCGGAGCACGCCCAGTCTGCGCCTTGAGGTGGTCGGAGAGGACAGCTCATCGAGAACGCTGGACATCCGTCCACCGCTCAGCCCTGAACACTAACAAACAACACAAACACAGATGATCTATCCAGATATGTATGCACACATGTACACTTTACACACACACATCAGCATCATCATCATCATCATCATTAGACAGTGTCAGGAGGACGGATGGTTCTTGATGGATGTTACCAATAAAAGTACCTCTGATAAACATCATCACTGCCTCTCTGTTCCCTTCACACATGCAGTAATTTACATGCCAACTTTCCCACAATATGCAGTACAGTATCTGCCAACGTTTGTGCTCTAAAGCGGAAATAAAAACCTTTATGTTACAACAAACTTTGAGTTAGGACTGATCTCAAGAGGTTAGGGAGTAAATGTGTTCCATATGTGGTTGTAAAAGTAGCACAGAGGCTTCAGTGTGCCTGTGCAGCTTCATCATCATCAAACATCTCATCTTCAGTCAGTTGAAGCCATTGTGTTAGCTGATAACAAGCTTAACTGCATTATGTTTGTGGTAGCAGCAACTTAGCTGTGACTTAGTGATAAATTAATGTCTGTGTAGAACAATATATTGTGTAGAACACTGAAAACAGCCAAAATATTTAATATTTATTGTTTATTAAGATATATGTAAGTTAAGTTCATGGCGATTAATAGTGTTATGTTGAAAGGATCAACGGCAGTTTGGGGGGGAAACAAACGGATATTGATCGGAGGATGTTAACTTGTAGCAAAACTCCAGGTAGTTTGATTTAAAAATGACAAATGTTTTGCCAAAGTTGGATGAATAAGAGCCGCTTACAGGGGAAGAGGAAGGTTTAATGACCAAAGATAGTTTGCCTCAGATGGTTGTTTGTTCACTTTAACGCACATTCTGGAGAAATCCTCACCAGCAGAGCTTCACTGATAAATGTTCGTAAACACAACCTGCTTATTAATTTCAATTTAGTAAAGAATGTGTTAGTGGAGAAAACACCAAGCAGAAATGTACAGCAGTCCATTTGAATGATGGGTAATATAACTGCCTTTGTGAATTGTTTCTGTTGATGCATGTTAATGTAAAGACGTCTCGTCCGTCACCACCAGTGCTCTGCTGGTACAGTGTGTGTGTCTCACATTAAGAGTCATAAAGAAATAATATTCACAGTGTTGTTTCATAAATGTTTGAACAGCATGTTGACAAGGCTCCAAATGTAACCCAGCGACATTTTTCATTCTTGTATCCCAACCTCCGCCGTGTAAATAAAGTCATCACAACAAAAAAGGGGAATTCCTCTGTTTTTTGTTCTGTTTGTGTTGCACTGACACTCACTGATTGATGGATGTGTGTGTGTATGTGTGTGTGTGAGAGAGAGAGACCAGTGCCTGGGTGGGAATTCTGCAACAATAACGCTTGTCCACCTTGTGAAACAACATGACAGAGGAATTTCCTTGGAATTCTGCTCAGTGTGGGGGTCTGTGTCGGACGCTGGGAGGGAATGTCTTCCCTGTAGGGACGAATTAGCATGCAGGAAAAAGACACATTCACTCTTACTGTGCTCCTCCTGGACCCCCCAACATCACACACACACAGTCACATCTACAGAGTCACAGCTGTCTTGTGAAGGAAGCACCACTGCATTGTTTTTAAGTCATTCCCTGCTGCAGCAGATTTCTAACACTGAAGGGATGAAATAATTAGTCAGAGGATTAGTTAACAGAACAATGGATTAATCGTGGATTTTCAAGCAGAAGTGCCAAACATGCTGCTTCCAGCTGCTTTAATGTGAGGATTTACTCTGTTCTATATGACTGTAAATTAAATATCTGTGTTTTTAACTGTTGGTCTGACAGAAAAATGCAATTTGAAGATGTATTTAAGGGCTCTGGCAACGTGCCATGTGCACTATGCAATATCTTCTCACATCAAATGATCAAATGATCGGTAGTTGCAGCCCCCAATTACACTTTACGGTCACATCTGAACTGTCACAGCTCAAATAACCTTTGAGAAACATGAAATCATGCTTAATGAATCCTCTCTTATAATTAATATAGTTTTAATAATGATAACCGATAAAGGACCGAACAATATATGTCTGGTTTGTTTTATATTCAGTAAATCCTCAGAAGGTTATCTCATCTCATTAGTTTTGCTTCCTGGGAACTAAAAACAGAGAAAGATCAGCTTTTCTTCTTTACCACCCACTTCCTTGTTATCCACCAGTCCAGAGAGGAAATACGTGTCTGCCAACTTCTCGTGAACCTAAGCTTACTCTGCGGTTGTATTAATTGTAGTTTGAATATTTGAAATGTCATCTGCATGTTATAAACTTGACGCCCACAGAGAAAGGAGCAGCAAGTGGGACTCCTGAAGCGGCTGCATCTGGACAGCAGATCAGGTCTTTGCTATGATACCTCAAGGCTTTTCCCATCTCTTATAAGCCTCAAACACATCTACACGTTATGGTTTTAGGAAGTCAAGCTGGCCTGTGTGTGTGTGTGTGCACATGTGTGTATCCATTTACCCTCCCCGAGGAGGAAGACAAGAATAAGAGGAGGAGGAGAAAGGGAAGAGGCTCTTAGTCTGTCCGTCAGGCTATTTCTGACTGCTGCCATTTCTCTGATTAGATTATGGAGAAACAGAAACCTGGCCCTCCATCGTCCTAACCTCCCTCTCACTCTATCTCGCTACATTTTGCTCACTCACCCCCCCCCCTCGCAACCTCCCTCCGCCTGATGCTCTCTCTCCTCCACCTCTTTCTCTCAGTCCATACCTCTTCCTCTGCTGTCCATCTGTCTGTCTCTGTCCCGGTGCGTCTCCTCCACCTTCTGCTGCTGATACAAGTGGAGGCGAGTTCAAGGTTCGGGAGAGAAGTGAGGGTCAAACATGGGGGGAGGAAGGGAATGGAGGACCAGGAGGATGGGAGAAATGACATTTCATTAGTACAAAAACATCTGTATTAAAGTAAAGACTACAGCACTATGGAATCCTTCCCGTGAAGGCCAGTGGAGACGGTCAGAACAGGTGTCCATGCAGAGGCCTGTTCCAACCCGCATTATACTGTCTACACCCCGGACACAAACTATATGGGCATTTTCTTCACTTTTTTTTTGCCTCAGCAACACAGAGCCACAATATTTAGTAATACTTTGATTGTTAGTTAGTTGGCATCATACTCAAGTGGTGCAAATTCTCTAAACAAACTACAAAACAAAATTGGGGGGCGCTGACCGTGAACTGCAACATCCCTGGTTCTTATCTGGACTGGAACCTCTGGGTGTCATTTCCCTCATTTCCTCTCATCTCTAAACCGTCAGCTATCTAACAACTCCAGAAAATGGCCAAAAAAAACCCCCAACAAACAAAGAAAAAAAAACAGCCTTTCACATGCAGCACCCACTGGGGTCTGCACACCCAGAACAGCTGGTGGTCACCCAGACTCACCAGCACACCGTTTATTGAGTAATCTGGATAACTCTGCAGAGTAAAGCAGCTCTTTTTACATCAGTTCAGACATGAGATGGTACTTTGTCTATCCAGAGAAGACATTAAACTGGTTTATTTTATTAGTAAATGGTCCTTCCCATACAAAAACAGACAATGCTGGGTTATATATAGTAGGTCTGAGATCTGGCTCATGTGCTCTCCTGGCCATGCATACTAATCTCTGTTCAGTAAATAAGATGGATAAAGAAGTTGGTTTGATTTGAGTGCAGTTGCTGTGCAGTTGCTGTGCAGTGGTGGGCAGCAGCAGCAGCAGCAGCTCGCAGAGGTGCAGCAGCAGCCAGGTGAGGTGGCGAATGATGAACGACTACCAGAGGCTCTCCCATTATCATATCTGTCCCTGCTCTTAACGGGGCATTTTCATCCGTGTCCCTCTGCACTCCTCTCATCTCTCCCTCCCCTCTCTCCCTCACTGCGCTCCCCCAGGAAAGCGATCGATTTCACCTCCATTACCTCTCTGCTCTGGGTTTTAAGACGCTCCTCATGTGTGCAGCAGTGAGGCGGCGCACAGTTACCGCAGCCTGCAACCGGCCTTTTATTTGGGTTGGACATGTTGGCTCACATCAGAGCCC